CTGTCAATTCTGTCATTACTTCAACGATAATATTATATTATGTAAAATTTAGTCCAAATATGAATCCATATAAAATCGTTGTTTGCGAAAGATTTGCTGTTATTTTCAATATTAATAAATTTCAGTATATTTAAATAAATATAATAAATGCTGATTAATATTTAAGTACCAGACGTTATACTTTATAGGAAATATTTGTATAATAAATAAGTTATTTCAAGGCATTGAAAGCACACACTTTATAAGTCAATTTGTTTTTGATAAAAAATTCACAAGTTTACTTTTTTGCATTCAAAGACTTTTTTAATTAAATTGATTTTCTATATAAAGAAAACTTAATTAATTGTCTCATTTTGTCTCACTTTATTGTAATTTAATGAATAAATTTAGATAAAACAAGGTTGGTATGGCAATTCGATAGGTTAACTACAATTCGGGTGATGCCAAGAGAATAGCGATCCTATAAACTACAATATTCAGAATTGATTATAACGCAAAAAAACATTGTGAAAAAATATACTGTAAATTGTAAAATAATATTGTAATAAAAATTTAATAGGTTATTTGACAATTTGACAAATAATTATAATTTTATTAAATAATAAATTAAACAAAGGGTTTTGTTCAATGGAATGCATATCTGGCCAAAAATTATAAATTAAAATTTTGATTACAAAAACAATTATCATTTCAATTATAATTGAAATTCAAATAAATAAATTACAATAAGGACGTGCTACATCATAAATAACGTTCAAAGTTGATAGCGAATTTTTTAATTTTTGGTATAACTTTTTGCAATTACGTCCGAATTAGAAAATTCTATTCCTCGTCACCATTCTATTGATATGTCATACGATATACTTATTTATAAAACAAAAAATTTGGTTTTTTCAATATTCCCGATGTGTAAACCCCGAGTGGCTAATGCGGCCAAACCCGAGGTCACTGATCATATGAAGTATATCACTCGACTCCTTAGTGAAAGTACCAATGATTAATCAATGAATTCACAAATGTTTTATTAAACCTGTATTTATGTATCTTTTATGTGTATTTGTGTGAATCCATGGAAACAATATAACGTTAATAAAACAGGGATTAAACAGAACTTAAAATATTACAAACAATAAAAGACAGAATTTAGTAAAAATGTACAAAAAGGAGAAATCATTAGTTTTAGTGTCAAGTGTTTCCCCTTTTGCTAAGAATTTGAGTGTTATTTACGAGAAGAACAAACTTAAAATATTACAAACAATAAAAGACAGAATTTAGTAAAAATGTACAAAAAGGAGAAATCATTAGTTTTAGTGTGTTCACAAAGGGGAAAACGATTCTTAAACTCACAATAAATGCTCTTCTTGTGTAGTTATGTATAAACAAGCAGTGTATTCAAAGCGAAATTACATTAGTGAGAATTGTGACTTTTGTTCCTATTTCTGATTCCAGACGTTCAAGAAATTTGCGTCGATTCTGACAAAGAAGCTGTTAATAAAGATTATATATTACAGGTTACCATGTTTGAACTCATTTATATTTAATTAATTCATAATTCATAAATATACCAATAAGATAATGCAATATTTAGAACTATTAATAATCATTACTGTAAACCACAACAGATTAAATGGGTGGCATTAAATGAGAAAATCTTCTTGGTTATTCTTCTGCAAAATGGTCTTAAGGTATATGAAATAACAGAAATAACAACAATTTTACTTTACAGTAAATTACAATTAGCCAATTAAGTAATAATATTTACTTAATTCCAACTAAATTAAACTAAAATATTAAATATAAATTATTATAAAATAATCGTATTATACCGATTCCTACCATAATTTTTTTATAATATTGTTAATATATTTGTTATACATGAGGTAAGATTTAAATGAAAATTACATTTAATTTTACAATATTAGATATACGACAACAATGGAAAGAATTTAATGTTTAGCCATTCATATACCGCAAAAAGTGATGAATTGTCAGAAAATACTTATTCAAGTGGTATCGCAGCTCTTAATGGATCAGTTGTTTGCATCGGTGCTAATAATGGATCAATTCTCAAATACTCGATCAATGAAACCAATAAAATATCATTTGATGAAACATCCAATGAAGTTATTCATAAAAGGTTTTAATACATTAAATAATAATATTATTGTTTTAACAATTAATTGTTAAATAATAAAATGTATGTAAAAATGTGATTTATTAATATTTAGGCCCATAACTGATTTAGTGTCAAACGAGAAGAATATTCTGGTTAGTTGTGACGATAGCGGGAAGATATGGGTTTGGGATTATATCGATTCTCGTTTGCAGCAAACTGTTAGCTTTGAAGGCTATAACGGGTAAATCAAGCATTTTATTCAATTACATTATAATTCATTTGTGATTATAAGTCTCAACATTAATATTAAATAATAAACTATAACTGTAATACTATTTATAGAAATTTATTCAAATGTTGAATTTAATATTTAGATTTTCGTGCAATTGTTTGGCATTTTACAAGAAGTACGTGTTGGCCGGCTATGGTTCCGGTCATCTAAGAGTGTTTGACATAAACAGTAAACTATTAATAAGTGAGATATCAGGCCATTCCAAATGGGTTACAGCCATCGATGTGGCACCAGATACGGATCGGGTATGTAAATCACATTTTAGATATTTGTTTTTGTTATTATTGTACAAACTTTAACAATAATTTGTTTTAGATTCTGTCGACATCTGAAGATAGCTTCGTTAGGATTTGGCAAATGAGTGAACAAAATGACACTTTTAAAGTGAATATTAATTAAATTGTCATTATATAAATGTACATTTATATACTAATGATGCCTATGATTGACTAAACCGATAGGTGAGCCATGAATTTAGCCAAAACATAGCAAACCATATGTTGTTTGGCGGAGTATTTCTCGATAAATCCGGAAATTCGTTTTGTGTCTCAGGATATGATTCATTGGAATTGCATTATTTTTCCCAATAAATCACATTTTGTTTATTTATTTATTTAAAACATTTTTATAACATTTCTTTTACCGATAATAAATTTTTCTGTTATTTAATCACAGATTTTAATCACAATTCTTTAGCAATTACTACACAATAAATATAATTTCTATATTTAGGCTTTTTTACAACTCGTCCTTTAAATCAAGCGTTAATTTATTAATTAGATTAGAAGTCAATTGATATAAATATGTAAAATAATTATTTAAAGTGTCTTTTTTTGTTTCATTTAACAAATCGTCAGATATTTGCTTAAGAATTGATAAACTTTTTTGGAACTCTTGTTTACAAATAATGGAAAGCGAATCCATGGCTTCAATTGTCTTCTCTCTGAAAAAGTGTCTTTTTTTGTTTCATTTAACAAATCGTCAGATATTTGCTTAAGAATTGATAAACTTTTTTGGAACTCTTGTTTGCAAATAATGGAAAGCGAATCCATGGCTTCAATTGTCTTCTCTCTGACATCATTGTCGGGACAGTTAAGCAAATCAGACATTAAATCACAAAACCGATGGCTAACTATTGATTCAATGAGTCCAATGTCTTCATATTGTTTGGCCTTAATTTGACTCAATCTATCGTTTGTCGCATATTTTAAAGCCATTTGTCTTTCAATTAATAAATCATTCAAAAGTGTAATGATTTTTGTATTCAATTTAATTGATTGAATGTCTGATTGTTTGAAAAGTTGAGCAAAAATAAAGAGCGCGTCATATTGTTTGATGAGAGACTTCTGCACTCGTGGTAATTGTCTCACTAAACAACTTATCGCATAAAACGTCCTTTTCTTCACCTCAACTGATCCATCGTTTTGTAATATAAACAACAAGTCTTTGAGAGCACTCTTCTCGAAGACATGCATTTGAACGCTTGGGTTCCCATTCATCGCCGATCCCATTGTCAACGCTATCTGTGATCTCAATCGATGGTCCGTTGAGTTCAGATCAGCCAATAATAAGTCGATGGCATTCATTTGGATCAAGTCTTTAGCGATATCTATAGAGTGCACCAAATATTCCACGTCTGACAACAAATTCAACTTCTCTTCAATCGACGCCTCTTTATATCTGGAGATCAAAGACTTTAATATTTCGGTTTCGGAACTAATCTTGACATCCATTTCATCGAAATCTTTGCGGATTTCATCCATCGATCGAAAGTCCTTTAAAATCGTTTCCGAACTTTCGATGTCATCGACAAAGTCATCGGATTTCATGTTTCGCAGCATTTCTTTCAATTCGCGTCGAATTGCCTTCACTTTCGAGTTCACGATATTTCGGTTTTCGACCGCTTTCTTCGGCCGAACCATCACTTCATCCCTATTATCCAAATCACGAGTATTTGTGTCCAACAGTTTGGCCTCTCGTAAACCCGTCTCCAGATTGAGTCTGACGTGAAGACCCGCCGGAATCACCTGTCCTTTCAGTATTGGCTGCCATTCTTTCGATGCTATGAACGGTTCCGTCTCTTCCACCACCTCTTCCTCCACTTCGCTCTCAACTCTCGCATCGCTTTCATCACTCGTTTGGTCCACAACTATAAGACTGTTGTGAGTGTCTGTCTGTGTGGACACCAATCGTGCCGTTAATGCGAACCAAACCAAGAGATGGACACAACTTGTGGTCATTTCGTGTCAATTAATGTTTGTTTACAATTCATATTCAAAGCAATCCAAATGCATATCAATTTCCACTCTTTTATACATTCTTACAAACAGTTGTGCTTTGAATGAGAGCCCAAACAATGCATTAATCAATTACAACAACACATGTATTGCATAATAAACTGTATTCACATCAATATATTGTATGAATAAATAGCAAACAATTATCGCAATTAAGTGTATAATTAGTGAACCAATAGATAGAGTGATGTGTGAAGTGGTGGCCAAAAGTGTGATGTCTTCGCGACCGGAAGTGCTATCGTTTTACAAACAAGTCATCCGTTTATCGAAGGCATGGAAAGCGAAGAATGAATTGAAGACAAGCGAAGAGCGGATCTATATTAGGACTGAAGCCAAACGACTCATCGATGGCAACAAACACTTGACTGAAGACAAGGAGATCAGGAAATGCATCGCCGATGGGATGAGACGACTACAAGTGGCCCAACACTACGGCATACCATATCCGCGACCAATCTATTACCCGACCGGCGCTTACCTCAGAAAACAGAAATGATTTTGC